GCTTTTTTTTTTTTTTTTTTGGTAGTGTTACAGTTTTATACCTTTGTTATATTTTTGAGACCGAAAGAAAAAAATTCTTGTGTGCTGTTATTGGTTTCAATCCAAGTGCACAACAGATCAAAAACACGAGGGAGTGGATAGATATGACAAGAAAGTAGAATACGAGTGCAATATCTGCAAAACTGTTTGCATTGTACACTCCAGATTGCTTTGGCGTGTGTATCAGGTCACGTTTATGTATCCATGCTGTTTGTGTACACAGATCACCGTTTTTAATTATCATAGACTGGAAGCGGACGGCACTTAAAGAGTATAACGTGGCATGCCGTGCTACTTAAATAACCGTTGCGTGGCTTATATCTGGGACTCAGACGGAAGGCATCACCTTTCATCAAAACACGTCCTTGTTTTCTTTTATTTCCAAACAAAACCTTTTCAGTGCTGTGGATTTTACAGTTAATACGTTGTTGAAAGACGAATGAGACGTTATCTTCACCGTGATAACACAGCACTCTACAGCTTGCTAGTGAAGACTGACACAAAGTTGCTTCTTTAACACAGAGAGCTTTGTTATCATTTTTCTTGCAAGGGACGTCTCTGTTTTCCCCTCAACCTTCTGTTTTATTGCTGAAGGATGTTTCATGCCTTTTACCACATACAGTGGCACAGCAAGACTAGCAGAAAGAGAAGTCTTGATTGTCAACGCTCAAGGTTTGTTTCTAACAAATTCTCTAATACAGCTAAGTAAATACTAGATCAGGATTACAATTTATGCAAGTACCTCAGATACATGTACCGTGATAAATTTAAATCAGCTTTGCAAAACAGCATTTTGACATTCTCTCGTCCAGATGCAAATACTGCTTACCTGTCCCTTACCATGCCATTTAATGATAATGGCCAAATGCATGATGTTTTTCCTTCCTATTCACTAAAATGTAGTGAGTGCCAAGCAAATACTGTTTTTCATGTTTAGTATAGAGAACTGTTACCCAGATCTCAGCCCAAAACCCAGGGGTGAGGGGGAAGGAGGTTGAATCTGATAATAGAGATCAGGATCTTCCACATTAATTTTAGATGTTGGTTTCTTGGTTGGTTGGCTTATATATTTAGATGAGGAATCATGCTGTAATATGCTGAGAAACTGTCTGCAGTAAGACTGATAGAAAAAGTGCCCAGTCTAGCTGCACTCCAGACTGATGCAGATCTCCTCTTTGCTTTAGTGGGAGTTTTTGCATCAAGGTGAAGTGCAGAATTAGCCCTTCGGTGAGGCTGAATCTAAAGTGAAACGAAGAAGCGATATAATTGCCTGTTGCACATGCTGAGATCTCAGTGATGGATTTAGAGAAGCTTTTTTGCTCAGGCAAGTAGTTGGATACACTTTTCGGTGATTAAATCCATCTGACTGACCTGAATAAGTACCAAACGATTCAGTGAGTCTTTCAGCATCAAATTTTTCTTGTCTTCCTCCAGCTACTACCCCCACTTCCCCGGCCACTTTTGTCTTCCATGGTTTGCTCTTCCAGTTGCGTGTTGTGCTGAATTAGACTGTCAGCTCCTCAGAACAGGGACGATGTGGATATACAGTCCCTTGTTTGACAGTGGAACCCTGCCAGGACTTCTGGATATTAATGATCTGAACTGTGTAACAGTAATTACTGCAATTAGTGGAGTAACACCAGCGTAGAACTGATGTAGGTGAAAGCAGATCAGGGCTGTGGGGAGTGGGTTGAGCTGATTTTAAAAGCCCGTTGCTGATGGAAAGGGAAAGCCTTGTCTTCCTCCTTCCTTTTTAGTTGTCTTCCTCCCATTGTGTGCCCTTTTGTTGCTTACCCTGAACTGGTTCTGTCCTTGTGCAAGTACATGTGCAAGTGCTGCCTTCTCTTCCAGGAGCTGCTTGAGCTCACTAATCTGGCAGAAAATCCAGTGCAAGAACAACAAAGTAGATCTTTTTGTGTCAAATTAGTGAGTTGTAAAGGAAGCAATGCCAGAGCCAGTGCAAGGAAGGGATGGGGAAAGTCAGTGTGTTGAACTTGACTTCATGTTTGCTGAGAGATACCACAGGACTTGGGCTTTCAAGGTGCTGGGGGCCTTTAACTTCCCACTGGAGCCAGTTTGCAAAATTCAGCTCTGGATTCCAGCTTATGTGCCCTGCTGTAACCGAGGGCAGAACTTGTCCCAGCCAAGATCAAGCTCTGTGAGAGCAAAATACCGCGATTGCCGCACAGGGTTCTATGCAGGCTTGTCAAATCGCTCCTCGACCTTCGGTTTGAACATGCTGCCTTTTTCCATCATAAACCAACAGAACTTTCCAATCAAAAGAAAAACAGTTATTCTCAAAAATATGGTTGGAAATATTTATTTGGCTTGGCTTTCTAAACAGTTGTCAAGCACAAACTCGGTTTTTGACACCTTCTTTACAAAGATGCATAATTTCTATTGGCTTATAAGGCAGTAAAGGATTTGCTTTCTAATGAGAGAGGTTGCCACCAGACACTGAGGAATACGACCAGAAACATGGTTAGATCACAGTTCAGCAAAGCACCTAGCAGGGGCTCAGCTTTAAGCACAGGCTTTACTTAAAGCGTTGTTGAGAGGTATTTTAGATGCCCCGATCTTTTGATGTTGTCACTTAAAGGTGAACTACACATCCTGCTGAAACCTTAGAGCCATCATTTCCTATTGGACTTTGGTACGTGCTACATGTTGTGAGTCTGAAAACAAGTGGTGCTGCAGGACACCAGATTCTTACTACAGAAAGAGTGACTGTTCCTGCAGCTGCTACTCATCAGAGCAGTCCTCTTGCAAGCTGAGTACCGGGATTGTCTGCATGAAGAATTGCAACTTCGGCCAGAATGAGAGTGTAGTTGCACTTTCCAGCAGTGAGAACCTGCTTTTGCTTGTGATTGATTTGTGGTATCAAGAAGCTTCATTGAGTTCAGCAGGCAGCAAGTATCTGTGTCTGGGATACAAGCAGTGCAGAAGCCTCATAACACGCCGATCTAAATTTCTGCTGCAAAAGAATATGAGAGAAAGATCCAAATCACTCTGAGAAAGCTCCTGTAAATGTGAGACAGGAAGAGAGTTTAGACTATGTATGCCAATTCTAGGCTGATTACAAGAAGGAAATCTGTCCAAACTGTTATTGATCTTACGTTAGCTGACCTGGAATGAAAAGCAAGATGAATAAAACCTCTTTGGAATATCAAAAGCCACAGAATATCAGAGCTTAATGAATAGCAAATCATTACAAACTTTAAAAAAAACCCCAAACCAAACCAACTAGGAGCTAACACCATGGAAGATTTCTCACCCCACACATGCCTGTATGCCGTAGTTATTAATGGCCGCTTGCCATTTTGTGCGGGACAGTATGAACCGAAATGCATTACCGTTCCATTCTTCCATTTTGGGGATGCTGAAGTGAATATTCTTTTGGGTCACCAGTAATGTAAGGCTAGTTTGCTTAGCCTGGCCCCAAGGGGAGTCTCCCATTTTACTTTTCCATCATTCTAAAAAATGATAAAACAGGAACTAGCAGTTATATAACGCCATTCATCTCCTAGCACTTTATGAACAATAGTACAATGATCTTCTATAGACAAACATTGTAAAGAAAAGGCTGTGGAAGGGAAGAACGAGCCTTTCAAAAGGGGAGAGGGCTAGGGTAGGCACAAAAATGAATGGGCATGGGTGGACTGGGACGTATGTCTAAAATGTGAGATCTCAGGGAAAGAGGGAAGGGAGGAGAGGGATATTCATCTCTTACATGGCTCCTGGTGGCTCTGCAGGCAAGGGCTCTGTGTCAGCATCTGTGCACTGTGACCCATCTGGTGGGGTCACTGAACACAGAGGGGGAGTTAATGCTGCTTTGAGCAGCACAAACAAATCCCTCTTTTGTGTGCTCTTTTTATTTGGACTCTGTAAAGAGAAAATGGCACTTCTGCGGGCTCTTCCCTGGCCTCTTGTGCTGCAAACACCGCCGTGCTGGTGGTGGTGGTGATGGGGGGCTGTGGATTCACAGCGCACTGAGCGCTGCTCTGAAGTAGCTTCCGTTCTCCACACGCTGCTCTTCACCTCTCGTTAGGTAACAGGCAAATATTTCAGTGCACTTTCAGTCTCAGGGAAGATGTATATGTACGCAAAAAAGCTTTGCTCTTCTGAAAAGTTAGCAGTGAAGCTAGTTCCGAGGTAAAACAGGGAGACCATTTAGCAGCACGCAGCAACGCCACTTAGCCATGGTGGCTACCTAGCTGAGATTTGTTCGGGTCATTTGGCAAAATGTCATGACCAGTAGTGAAATTTGACAAGGTCCTGCAGGCAGATTGCTGCTGTAATTAGGGAGTAACGAAAGGAGGGCTTTAAAGACCTAATCGAGACTTTGGCCTTGCTACTTGGGCAGTGATGGGAGCTGTGTGTTGTATGGCGATCAGTGTGTTGGAGAGACCTCGCTAATAATGAGGTTGATGCTGTTCAGGACAGAAGGGCTGCAAGGAAACTGTGAGATAAAGCTTTAACAGCATCTGCCTGCCTTTGGTGCTGCTTTAGCCTGTCATTGCATGACCACCAGTTTCACTAACCTCCCTCTGTAGGCTAACTTAGCTACGAATGTTTAAAAAATTAAATAGAAAAAGTCTTTGTAATAATATAGACTATAAACCATCAAAATCATTGTTTCAAAATAGTTCTGCCAAGTCTTATGTTATATTCAGCACCACAAAAATTTTTAGATCATGCCGTTGAGTGTATTTAGTAGCTTTTGCAAGGTTTGGGTTTTGGTTGTTTCTTTTTTTTTTGCTTTCTTGCTGTATGCATTAACTGCTCCCCAGTTCTTGTTAGCTTGTTGAATTTCTGATGCCCTTGGCTTAATTTGGGACCTAAGGTTGCTGACACTCTTCAGTGAACTTGGATCATGCTGTCAGACATCAGTGTGTCAACTCATAATAGGAACGAACACAGAAATTCTCCAGTAACTACCTATGGGTCCACTGGCCAGAACATCCCCTGTATTTGTGTGATGAAATACTGTGAAAAATCTAGGTATTGTATCATTAAAATAATATGAAATAAGAAGCTTGATGTTAATTGGATTAGGAAAAAAGTAAAGCTCATGCGACTACAGAATTAGTTGGAATAAGAAATTTCAGAGATAACTAACTTGTTTAAAGGAAAAGAACAGTATTCGTACATGATTAGTGTAGATATATTGCAGTGCTTTCTCACCTCTGTAATCTAGTGATGTGTTGTCCTTATTTGGTGTTTAATGATTCCCGGGTATCTATACAGTGTTTTTACCAGGGCTGAAAAAGACACAAGCAGAGACAGACCCAGAGCTGTTGTGAACCAGTGCCTTGAAGATGGCTTGTTTACCCAGAAGCATTTTTTTTTTTTAAATTTCTTCAATAATACCAACGGATGCAATAAAAGCTCATTTCTCTCTTCATAAGTACTGCAAGTAAGCATGTTTGTGTAGTTAGCATAGGTTGGCTGAAGTCACCTAAGGATCCAACCCAGTAGCCTCAGCTCCAGATTCTCACCACAGTACTAGCACTGCCTAACTTTGTTTGGTTCCCCGCTGTTGTAAATGCATGGGACTTGATGCTGTGCTTGTACCAGCTTGGGTGACACTTCTCTTTGAACCTGCAGCTCGGCTGCCTTCTGTAAGGTAATCGCATACTTTTGCCGCTGCGATGAATCTGACTCAGCAAAGA